TCCCTCCCCCAAACCCGGGGCACACGCCAAGGCTGCACGACCCCACAACGGGTTTAATTATTTCACCGCCCTCTTAAAAAACCCGGCAAAGCGAAAACTTTGCACCTCTGCTCCCGGTTGGTGGTGGTTTATCCCTGTTTTTCTGCCCCCCCTTCCCCTCCCCGTCCTCCTCGGGGCGGCCCCGCGGGACTCGCACATTTCCCACGGCTCCCGGGGGTTTATTTTTATCCCGCCTTGTGCCTCTGACTCCTCGGGAATGAAACGGCCTCTAAAAAAAGGAGTGACCGGGTGGTGCCCCCCTCTTCACCCTCCCCCTGCGGGCTGGGATTCCTGCCGGGGCTCCCCATCCCCTGGGATCGGCTGCGGGGATCGGGATCACCCCCAGGGCAATGCCAGGGCTGTCCCAAGCCCCGGTTGGAGTTGTACCTCTGGGATGGGCTGGAGGGAAGGGAAGGGAGCTGGGGAAGGGGCTGGAGCAGCAGGAATATCTGAGGGAGCTGGGGAGGCTCAGCCTGGGGAAAAGAGGGATCAGGAGGGACCTTTTCCCGCCCCACAACTCCCTGAAAAGAGGGGGGAGCCAAGGGGGGGTGGGGCTTTGCTCCCAGGGAAAAAGGGACAGGAGGAGAGGGAACGCCCTCCAGCTGGGCCAGGGGAGGCTCAGGTGGGATATTGGGAACAATTCCCACATGGAAAGGGCTGTCAGGCATTTGGAATGGACTTCCCAGGGCAGAGGTGGAGTCACCAGCCCTGCAGGGATTTTAAATCCCCGTGGATGTGGCCCTTGGGGACACGGGTCAGGGGCAGCCTTGGAAGTGCTGAGGGTGGTTGGACTCTGTGATCCCAGAGGGCTTTTCCAACCTCAACCATCCCTAAGGATTCTGTGTCATCCTGGCACTGTCCCAGCTCTCCACAATTCCCTGGAAGGAAGTTTCAGGAGGTCCCCAATTCCCAGGGAACAAGGGACAGGAGGAGCGGGAACGCCCTTCAGCTGGGCCAGGGGAGGCTCAGGTGGGATATTGGGAACAATTCCCACATGGAAAGGGCTGTCAGGCACTGGAATGGACTTCCCAGGGCAGAGGTGGAGTCACCAGCCCTGCAGGGATTTCAAATCCCCATGGATGTGGCCCTTGGGGACACGGCTCAGGGGTGGCCTGGGCAGTGCTGGGGGTGGTTGGACTCCATGATCCCAGAGGGATTTTCCAACCTTAACCATCCCTAAGGATTCTGTGCCATCCTGGCACTGTCCCAGCTCCTACAACTAAAAGGAAGTTTAATAAGGTGGGGGGTCCCCAATTCCCAGGGAACAAGGGACAGGACAAGAGGAAACGGCCTGAGGTTGCACCAGGGCACGTTTAGGGTGGATATTGGGAACAATTCCTACGTGGAAAGGAATTTCCCAGGGCAGGGGTGGAGTCGCCATTCCCGTAGGGATTTCAAATCCCTGTGGATATGGCCCTTGGGGACACAGATCCGTGCTGGCCTTGGCAGTGCTGGGGAATGGTTGGATTCCGTGATCCCAGGGGCCTTTTCCACCCTCTATGATTCTGCCATTCCACGATCCTGGTACCACCCCAGCAGCTCTTCAGCCACCAGAGCTGAAGAACAACCAGAGGCAGCGATTCCCAGCCCGGAGATCCCGTGGGGAGGAGCACATTCCTCCCCGTTTCCCTCCGGAATTCCGGGGTTTTGCTCCCGTTCCGCAGGGCCCACACTCACGGGGGAGGCCGCTCTCGCCGGCGGGAGGGCTCTGCACCACGGGGCTGCAGGACAGGCTCGTCAGCACCAGGGCTGCCACCATCTCATCCATCTCCACGGCGGCGTCGCCTTTCCTGCGTCCAGAGGCGGGAAAAACGCGTGGAGGGAAAAGCGGAGGAACCGCCCGGATACAACCCGGAGATCCCGACACGTAACTTTGCCCCCCCCCCAACTCCAGTGAAAAGTTGGGAAAGGGGAAAAAAAGAATAAATTAAAAATCCCCCTTAATCCTAAATGTAACCACCCCCTGGATAATCCTGGGTATATCCATGGAATCACCGCTCCCCCCTCTCCCGCCCGGGCGATCCCACCAGGAGAAGGCACGGACGGACCTCTTGGGAACGTCGATGCTGCTGGACACGGATCTCTGCAGGATCTCGGCGGGAGGTTGGAGCGTGTCCTGCACCCTCCAGCAGCCCTGCGAGCCCTGCTCCGGCAGCAGCGCCTTCCCCTGCTCACATTCCTGCCCGTTGGAAGTGATGAGGATCTGGAAAAAGGAACAAAGAGGAGTTGGTGTCGCCCGCCATCCGTGTCCTCCCAAAGGATCCCTCCGCCTGCTCTTCCCACGGGAAAAGGCTTTAGGATGAAGGCTGATCCTGTCCTGAAGGGTTTGGACTTGACTGATGTCCCAGCAGACCAGGGTTCATCCTGACCCACAGCCAAGAGATCTTGCTCCCCCCCCCCCAACTCCAGCAATCCCAGGCTGAGGGAATTCCCGAGCTGGAATCAGCTGCCTCTGAGCGTCGTGGCTTTGAGTGGACTTTTCTCCAAGGAATTTGTCTGCTCTGGGTTCATTCCCGCAACATCCCGCTCCAAGGACTCCCACAATTACTAAAAGGATCACGATTACTAAAATTGTCACTACAATTACCAAAAGGATTAAAACCTGGAAGGGGGGGGGAACAAGGGAGCGGAGACTTCCCGGGTGAAGCGATCCCGAATTCCCACCGCGGCTCCTCCACTCCCAGCTCCCTCAGGCAGGGAAAGGAGATGTGCAAACCTCGCCTCCTCCTTCTCAGAGTGCCAAACTTCTTCTGATGGGCACTTTTCCACCACTTCCAGCCCAATTCTATCTCTGATATAAAGGAAACGCGTCCGTGCCGACGGACGCTCCGTGTGTCCCTGGCTATTCCTGGGAACGGGAGAATCTCCTCATGGAAGTGCCACGGGTGTCACACCAAGGATGGACACACACACAGAAACTGGGGTGGAAACACTCCAGCAGAAACTGGGGTGGAAAAAGCCCCCCCAAGGCAGGATCAAGGTGAAGGGAATCAGCGCAAGGATCAAGACATGGAAGATCCTGATCCTGCTTCCTGAAAACAAGGATCGAGGCGTGCGTGGATCAGAGGATTGAGGAACAGAGGAGCCACAAAACCACTCAGGGGCCTTATTGACCCTCCAGTTCTGCCCAGAGGGGGGTTTTTACGGATCCACAGGGAGCAGCCAGGATTTGGGATCCACGTCTCCTCGGCGCTGCCTGGCCAGGAATTAACAGGAATTGCTCCAGTGGGATTAAGAGTGATTGGTGTTCCTCATCCCAGGCAGTGTCCTGGCCAAGGCATGGCCCTCCTGAGCATCAGGAGCCCGGGACACATGGAATGTGGGGTGGTATTCCCACCCCAGACATCCAAACCATAGACCCTCAACCCGGACTGAGCTCCAAGGGCTGAGCCGGGAGGGGGCTCCTTGAAACTTCCCTTCGGATTTAAAGGTGGGTTATGGAGAGATGGGATAAATTCACGGGAGAGGAGCCCACTGGGAGCCACTTCAGGTATCAAAACCGTGTCCCTCAACCTCAGACAGCCGGAGAAAACAGGAGGGAAGTATCAGGTGTTATTCCCTCCTCTCTGGAGACCCACTCCTGGCTGGGATCAGGGATATTTCCAGAGGGGATGGATCTCTGCTTGAGCTGGCACAGCCCAAACCCTTCAGACACAGCCAGGGTCAAGAGCATCAACAACAACATCCACTAAAGTGTTGTTGCCCGTCCCTGCTGCATTTCCCATCAGGAGAACCCAGGAGCTTCCCAGCACATCCCACCGGCCCGGGACGTACCTGCTGCCCGGAGTGGAGCTGCCGAAGGCCGGGGAATCCGGGAAATCCGGGAGCCTGGCCGTTCTCCTCCGCGGAGAGCCCGCAGGATCCGTCCTCGTGGGCGGCAGGGGCCCGGCCCAGCTCGGGCTGCAATCCCGGGATCTGCATCCCATCGGCGGGGACGCGGGTGCCGAGCAGGGAGCGCTTCCCCAGACGCCGGGACAGCGCGGTGGCCATGGCACTGAGGGGAGAGAAACACGGGGATGTCGCCTCTGGAGAAGGACCACGGACAAAACAGGGATGAGCCGGCCCAAGGGAAAGCCCGTGGATGCATTAGGACAGCGCTGGGAGCCCACATTCCCTCCGGAGCCGCGATCCCGAGGCCGCCGCGGCTCTTCCCGCCTGTCCCACTTCAACCCTGACCTCCAGACTTGGGCCCGTGCCCGGCACATCCTGCAATTCCCTGCCCTGAAAACTCTCCCGTCAGCAGAACCCAGCGCCCCTTCCCAGTTGGAATTCCAACGCTCCCCTTTTTGGGAAAGGTTTCTCCTCGTGCCCGGCCCTCTGGCGACAAAACAGGAGCGTCCTCCTGGCCCTGCTTTGTTGGGAAAGGGAGGCTCAGGAGTGTTTTTATCCCAAAGTGTTTCTCTGTGATGATCTTTAACCTACTTTGCCTCCAGGTACCGGGAATGGGATGTATCCAGCCACATCCCTGCTAAATCCAACGGCTCCAGCAGCGCTGTCACCGAGCGACAGCGTTTTAATGGCAAGACGCCACCTTGTTTTGGGGTTCTTCGGGATTATCCCGGATGAGAAAAGCTTCCCGGAGGCAGAACAGGGAGAGCTCACCGCTCCTCCGGAGCCTTCCCAAGAAAGGTTACTCCGAGCCACATCCCGCTTCAAAAGGACTCCCGGGATTTGCCGGCGGTTTTATGGATAACCCAACGCGCTCCGCTCGCTCCGTCCCGCCCCGGAATCCCGGGTAGAAAATTAACAGCTACAAAGGGACGGAGCAGGAAGAGCGGGATCAGAGGTGTGCCAGGGGAAAGCACCTCGTGCCAGGGCTGCCCACAGGGATTTCGCCGCCGGCGGCACCTTCCCTCTGGAGCAGGATCAAAGCCGCTGCTCTCCCGGCTTCCCTCTCATCTCGCCCCGCCCGGGAATACGCCGGATTTCGGGATTTCGGGGGTGCTCCTGAACCCATTCTTTTTTTTTTCCTGAGGAATCCATGCGGGAATCGTTCATCCAAAGGGACACTGGGAAGGCCAAGAGGGGGACACGGCGGTGGCGCATCCCAGAGCGAAGTCCCTGCGCCGGCACTGACCGCCCCACACGTTTCCTCCCGTATCCACCGGGGAAAAAACCTCAGCGCTGGGATATCCTGGGATTTTGGGAGCCGTGCTGGATCTCGGCCGCCTTCCCGCCGGCTCCGAGGCAGCTCCTGGCGGGCAGCCAGGAGGGCAGCGCCGAAGGTGGAGAGGCTGCTTCTCATTTCCTTCGGGCTTTCGCTTGGCCTTCCCTCTTCCTTTCCCCCCCCTCCCTCCGGCCCGGGAACGGAGCGGGAAGGAGGAGAGAGAGAGAGAGAGGGGGAAGGAAAACCCTCCCAAACTTTTCGGAGCCACATCTGCTCCCGGGGCAGACCGTCGAACGCCGGATCCCATTTGGGGCGCCCTGGGGCGAGGAGAAAACACCGAGGCCAAAAAAAAATCCTTCTCCTCATCCACGTCCCAAAAACACACGGAGCGAGGAAGGCGGGCGGAGCCGGGGAGGCCACGCTGCCTCCGGAGCCCTCCCAGCTGTTCCCAATCACGCGCCGCAGGGGTCAGAGCCGGCACAGATCCCAAATTATTCCCTGCTCCGACGCCGGGCGTGTATTTTGGCCGGCGTTTTTCCAGCTCTCGCCTGGAGGGGGGAGGAAAACGTCAGCCCTTGTGTCAGCCCCTTGTGCCCACCGGCTTTGGGGAAAGCGGGAGCCCCGCTTGGAAAACAAGGAATGCTTGGATTAGCAAGGAGGGGACGTGGTAAAAGCGGGGAGGGTGTCCCAGTGCTCATCCCGGCTCCTGTTTGCCTGGGGTTCGCCGGGAGAAAGGCAGTTCCTGCTTTCCCTCCTGCACAACCAGGACCACCGGCGCAAATCCCCTGTCCAGAGAACGTGCAGTTAGAGCACATCCTGGTTTTCCCTGTTTTTTTTTTATGGATAAATGCTGGTAGGTCTCCTCAAACCCAGCCTAACTCCTGCCACGGATCAACAACCTGGACCACAAAGTCCAGGCTACAACAGACCCCCAAACGCTGCCAAGAACTGATAACGAGCCCAGTTTTTTCCCTCTCCCGGCCCTCGGTTTCCAAAAAGCCCCTTCTCATCCCAAAATATCCCGAAACTCTTTGCAAACCGCACTCCTGCCCCATGTGACCGGGAAGGGAGATATCCACAGGGATATATCCACAGGGATCTCTCGTTTTTACACAGAATCTGGGCCTGAATTAAACCAAGAGGCGACAAGGATCCACTTGAGCCCGAGTCGGAACCAAACTCCCGACGCTCCCGGACAATAACACAAAAGCGGCGCTTCCAAGAGTTTCCTCCTAATTCCGCCTCGTTTCACAGCTCGGGTCGTGCCCAGGGATGTGTCACCACGGGGAAAAAAAAGGCTCCCTGACCCTCATCCACGCCAGCGCTCGCCGCTGCCGGGCGATTCCGGAGGGAAACGATTCCGGAGGAAAACGCGTTTGGAGGTCGCACTCCATATCCACGGTCGCGTATCCATATCCATATCCAAAACCATATCCATGGTTTTGGTGCCGGCCAGGGCAGAGCGACTTCCCAAGGCATCGGGGAGCCCGGGGGGGGGGGGGGGGTTTGCCGGCAGCGAGGGCAGCCGGGAAGGAAAAGGAGGGGAGTTGGCACTTTCTGGGAGCGGTGCCGGCGCCCGGGAGGAGCGGGCCCAGGGATTCACGGCACGGACTGCGTGTGTTCCCGTGTGCGGGGCACGTGGGGAAGATGGCAGGGCTGGAGGCACGGGAGGAGGAGGAGAATGAAGAGGAGGAGGAGGGTGCCCGGGCCTGGCGCGGAGGGCGGCACCGGGCAGGGCACGTGTGCGAGGGGCGGGGGACGGGCACGGGCAAGGAGGGAGGGAGGGACGCAGGGAGGGGGACACACGGACCGGGCAAGCCGGGGGGAGGGACGTGTGCCGGGATGGGAGGGGGGCACAGGGCACCGGGGGGGG